ATTGGATTTGCTGATACTGTCTACTAGATTTTTCAAATAGGCTTGTAGGTTTATTAAACTAAATTATTTCTTTTTTACTCAATAATTATAGACTAATTTTATGAAAATAAGAGTTACATTCTCCAATTGACGAAGGAGTGGGGCACTAAATAAATAAAAGTTAAAACAATAAAAAATTGAAAAACGTATGAAATGCATAAAACTCCAATAAATAACCACCACTAATGCTCTAGTGTACACACTTAACAATCTTTGTTTTGAACATGTATTCATTTGTTTGAGTGTGTATTGGTATACATGCAGAGACAGCAAGAGTCAAAGGGAGCCATATACAGAAAGAAAGAAAAATACTACTTGTCTCACAAAGTAGAGGACATATTCTACAAACTTTTTTTTGAACTTGACTATATAAGAAAAATAGATTTTAAAATCCATGTGTATATATAACTTCCTATTATAAAAAATCTACTCATGTATCACCTCACACCTTTCAGAATGGCTATCATTAAAAAGAACACGAATAACAAATGGTGAGGATGTGAAGAAAAGGAAGCCCTCATACACTGTTGGTGGGAATGTAAATTAGTGCAGCCACTGTGGAAAACAGTAGAGATGTTTCTTGAAAAACTAAAACTAGAACTACCATATGATCCAGCAATTCCAGTACTGGATATATATCCAAACCAACCTGCCACCAACTCGAAAAGACACATTAACAATTGTGTGTGTGTGTGTGTGTATATACACATACATACATACACAATGGAGTACTATTTAGTCATAAAAAGGATAAAATTTACCATTTGCAGCAATATAGGTGGACCTGGAGGGCATTATGCTAAGCAAAATAAGTCAGATAGTCTTTACAAATACTACGATATCACTTATATGTGCAATCTAAAAAATACAACAAACTAGTGAATGTAACAAAAAAGACGACTCACAGATATAGAGAATAAATTAGTGGTTATCAGTGTTGAAAGGGAAGGGGGAGTGGCAATTTGGGGTATAGGTACTGGATAAAGAGGTACAAACTATAAAATATGTTATATGGAAAACACAAGGACTATAGTAAATATTTTATAATAACTGTAAGTAGAATATACACTTTAAAATCTGAATCACTATATTGTACACCTGAAACTTATATAATACTGTATATCAAATATACTTCAATAAAAATTAAAGTAAAAAATAATCTTTTAAAATGTGCAGTTGTTGTCACCCTTACAAGGTTGACAAAGATATGATAATCAAAAGAATCTCGTTTTGTTTAGTTTAGTGAAAACATGCAAGCATTTCTACACACATTATCTCATTATCCACATTGTTTTTACTTAAAAATATTAGTGAAATTTGTTATTATATTTTTATATATTACATAAAGTAGTGACAATATTAGTGGGACTTTTGGTTTATGTTATGGTATGGACATTTTGGTCCATAAATTTAACAGGAAATGCTTAGGGAACAAATTTAAGTCCGCAAAGAAGAACATTCAGAAAATTCAGGCAGCTGGTATTTTGAAGATGCTTATTATCTTATTTCAGTAATAACTGTTGATTATGGTAATTGATCATTTCAATAATTTCTTATATAGATAATTGGTAAGAGTAATTTAAGTGCACTTCTATTTAAATATTCTTAATTAGTAAAGCACATTTAAATAAATTACCATATTATTGAAGGTCACACATAAGTATGGTTTCCCTAAATTTTACAAACTTAGACCAAACTAGTCTGTGAAATTTATCTTTAAGAATAGCTCAGCAAATGTGAATTTGACATTTAGGGGATAAACAACTTTTATAATAGAGCATGTTTCTCAGTGATACAAACAAAATAAAGCACGGTTTACCACCAAATTTTTTTTTACTTTACTTTTGACCAAAGAATGATCAATTTACAAAGAAAAAATAGTAGTTTTCCCTACGTTTTTAACAGTATGAAAATTGAGAGAGGGAAGATTTTGGAGAGGATACAAAGCTGGACAAAAAAACTGAGCAAAAAAGCCTCTCTCTCCAAGCAGATCACTAGTCAGATCAAGTAGTTAAGCAGATAAACTGGGTAACATTAATAACAGTATATATACTGTATATTAATAATAGTATGCACAGAAAGGAAAGGAGGAATGGGGGAAGGAGGAAGGAAGTAAAGGAGGAAAGTTTATTATTATATATGAATTATATATGAGGCATTTTATAGGGGTCGTTATATATGACATAACTAACACAAACAAAATGGAACAGAATGGAGAGCCTAGAAATAAACCTCCACATAGACGGTCATCTAATAATTGACAGGAGAGCCAAGAACACTCAGTGGGAAAAGGGTAGTCTCTTCAACAAAGCTTGCTGAGAATACTAGACAGATACACGGAGAAAAATAAACTTGAATCACAAAAATTAACTCAAAATAAATTAAAGTTTTAAATGTAAGACTTGATACATTAAAACTCCTGGAATAAACCAGACACAGAACTCCTTGACATTCATCTTCGCAACGATCCTTTTGGATATGACACCAAAAGCTCAAGAAACAAAAGCAAAAATAAACAAGTTGTACTACCTCAAACTAAAAAGCTTCTGCACATCAAAAGAAATAATCAGCAAAATGAAAAGGCAACCTGCAGAATGGGAGAAAATAGTTGCAAACCGTGTATGTGATAAGGGGTTAATATCTAAAATGTGTGACAAAAAAACCCCACACAATAACAAAGGAAAAAAATCTAATTGAAAAATGGACAAAAGAACTGAGTAGATATTTTTCCAAAGAAGACATACAAATGGGCAACAGGTACATGAAAAGATAGTTGACATTACTGATCATTAGGAAAATGCACATCAAAACCACAGTGAGCCACCTCACAGCTGTTAGGATAGCTATTATCACAAATACAAGTACTGCCAAGGATGTGGTAAAAAAGGGAGCCCTGTGCACTGCTGGGGGAGTGTAAATTGTTTCAGCCAGTATTGAAAATAGTCTTAAACTTCCTTAAACAATTTTTAAAACAGACCTATCATAAGAACCACCAGCAATTTCACTTCTGGCTATTTATCCAAAGAAAACAAAAACAGAAATTTGAAAAGATATATACATCCCATGTTCACTGCAGCATTATTTATAATAGCCAAGATATGGAAACAACCTAAGTGTCTATCAACGGATGAATGGATAAAGATGTGCTGTATATATACCACTGAATATTAATTCAGCCATGGGAAAGAAAGAAATCTTGCCATTTGTGACAACACAGATGGACCCTGAGGGCATTATCCTAAGTGAGATGAGTCAGACTGAGAAAGACAAATCACTTATACCTAGAATCTAAAAAAGATGAACTCATAAAAACAGAGTAGAATGGTGGTTGCCAGGAACTTGGGGTAAGGAAACTGGGGAGATGCTCATTAAGGGCACAAATTTGCAACCAGTAGATAAATCAGTCTGGAGAGTTAATGCCCTGCATCATTATTATATTCAACAATACTGTATTATAAATGTCAAAGCTGCTCAAAGACTTGGTCTTAATTGTTCTAATCACACAAAATAATAATAACTATGTGACATGGTAGAGGCCTTAGCTAATGCCATGGTGGTGATCATAATTGCTATAATCATAAATGCATCAAATCAACATGCTACATACCTTAAACTTACACAATGTCACAGGTCAATTATATCTCAAGAAAAAAATAAATTTCGTGGCTTGCAATCAGCACTTTTAAAATGAACTACAATGCAGCAGAAAATGTATTATATGAAAAGGGAACTATTTTTTTCAGAAGCCTTTATTATATATGTATTTACAGGTTTAAAGAAGAAGTGGATCATGAATAAAAATATACGCCTTACTATACAGGTAGTGGACAAAAAAAGTTGGAAAAATCACTACTTAAAAAAACTTCATTGGCTATATTTGGTAGTTAAATGACATGAGTAGTTCTATTAATGAATCAAAAACAAAGCATAATAAGCCAAATTCCTAATACATTAATTAAAATAAAGAATAAGCTTTCTTACAATTCCTTTTCTCTATCCATGAGAATGCATATTGTGTTATTATGCCACTGCTGAGGGCGTCTGGGAAGGAGGGGCACAGAGTTAAAAAGCTCAGATCTTGCATTACTAGAAGGATGTTGTTCTCAACTAACTGTATAAATGTATCTCTATATAAACACTACTTCAACCCAAATCAAAGACCTCCTTTTCCAAATTCTTCCTCTTTAGACTTCACAGAATCTTTATTTTCTACTTGGAGTCTGGTAACCTTCAGATTTAGATCCCAGCTCTGCCACTTAATGGCTGTATAGGCAAGAAGTTTGATAATTCTAAGTCTCATTGTCTCCTGTATCATGTGAGGATAACAATACAAACTTCTTCAGTAGTATAAAATGATACAGGGTACTTATAATTAATGTAATATGTACATGGTGCCACAAATAGTAGGCACTTCAGATATACTAGCTGTTAATATTATTAAGAAATAGATCGAAGGTACTGATGGGGAAGCTCTTAAGAACATGGAATTTCTTGGGTTTAACTGTTAGCATCTTCAACCTGTTAATAAATAATAGAAAATTACTAAGATAATAAACTTGATTCAAATTTATTACATAATAGTATAATTTTATTTTGAAAGACTTTTTGTTTATATCTTTGCTTCCACTGTGGATGTAAAAATCTACACAAAAATGGTTACCTCCCTAACAAGAAAATCCTGTATAATCTACAAATTATAATATTTTTAGCCCATTACATACATGAGCTAGTGAGACATTTAAAGGGTGATAAGCCCCTGTGAGGACAGATGGGACTTGAGAACTATTTCACCTTTGTCAGAGCATGGGAGGAGGAGGAGGAAGCCATAAAAGCAGACTAAACAAAGGCAACTCAAATTTAGGAAGTTCTTAGAAGTAGCATATGGGCTTAGCATGACAGCTGTGGAACCTGAGGAACCCCTAAACAAAATGTATGAACTTCGGCTAATTGTCTTCTACCAGATGCTGACACCAGGACTGAGAAACACCCTATTTGCCGGCGGAAGTATGCAAACACTCATCAAAGAAAATTGAAGTAACCACATGTGTATATAAGTAGACTTCAAAAAAAGAAAATCAGCAGGTGTCAACATAATGAAAATGGGATGAGATCATCAAACAGACAAAACAAATGTATGTGTACATACATAATGACAGAGATATATTAAAGAATTTACCCTGAAAGCTTAATCGGTATCAATAAATAATCAAGAAGCATGGAGTTGATATATTCTCAGATAAGTTATTTATATTATTTTGAAGAGGTAGCAACTAAAAATAGAGTTTACAAATTAGAATAATTTTCCATCCACACAAAGCTTTCAAAATAAAAAAATCTAATGTACAATATGTCTTTATATTAAAATATTAAACATCTTCATAGGTGACAGATTACTCTTAGATTCATATGTTACACTTCTAACTAAAACATTCAGACCATTTTAAAAGAAGAGTCTTAAACTCTACGTATAACTTCAAAATCTTTTGGAAGAATAAGTGAAATGCTAGAGATTGTTAAAAATACAATTTAGAGCTTAGAAAAACTATCATAATATTTAATGAAAAAATAAAGAAAGGAAATAGTTGGCTTGGTAGCCTCCAAGGAAATCAGTGGTACTGATAACTAAGTAATTAGAAATGGGATTTTGTGAACATCTTTATTAACCTTGTATTAGTTTGAAAAGTGAGGATAGAAATCAGAGAAAGCCTGATTCCCAGAAGCTACATTGAAGGATGCACAAAATAAATAGGAATCCTAATAAAGGTGATACTCAGCTAATGTATAACCAAATGAAACTTTATAGTTCCTTGGAATAAAAGTTCTAAAATTCGATTATTTTTGTTTTTATAAAGAATGGTGAATCTCATAAAATTTTCCTTTGTTAAGTTCAACAGATTCTGTTAGAAATAATACTAGATATGAGAGGAGGAAAGCAATATGTGTATGTATGATTATGTATATGTATAAGCTTATACATAAGTATATGTCAAAATATATGCACTGTGTCTCCAGAGCTATGATAAATCTCCAAACTAACTTACTGCTATTCATGTTTTTCAGGGATGATGTGAATGATGAATGAAGGTGACACACGTGTCTTCTACAGAGCCATATGGTTATTAATGTAGCTATAGACGTATTTTAACTACATTTATGTAGTTAGAATAAAAAGGCAAAATAAAATTTCTAGAGAATTTAAAGCAAAATTATTATGTATTTCATAGAAATAAGTTACTTTTTCTGCATTATTGTGGTTAATTTGGTCATCATCCATAAACAGAGGCATGAACCATATCATACATTCAGCAGAATCATCTAAGTTACTAATCCTTCAGTCATTGTGAGGGAATCTGGATATCTCCTTAAAGGTACAGCTTCATAAAAAATGACTGTCACTACTCCTGCTTTCCTTATGTCTTTATGAAATGATTTTGCTAAAAATAAGTAATTCTAAAAGTACAATTATTGGAAATAAGAAATTAAAAGCTGGTCAGTTATCAAGTAAACTACATTTGATTAACATTACCATTACTATCCAAAAAAACCACCAAGATTTCAGGACCATTAACCCACACTTAATAAAAATATTATAATTGTCCAACCTACTGTACCCTAAAAGTAACTCGCCAACTTAATTTTCATTTGGGCTATCTGACAGAATGAATACTTTTTAAAAAAAATTCATCCTTTGTTGAGGACAGAAAAAATGAAGGCAAAAGTCATGGCTGATGGAATCAGTATATTATCATTATCGTAATGGGTATTTTAAAACACTTAAGTTTCATGAACCATTTTAAATGCCTCATATACATTATCCATTTTAATCCCAAAATCTATGTGATAGGCGATATTACTAATCACATTTAGCAAATAAAGAATCCAGGGCTTAGACAGATATGTTCAGTCATTTGCTGGAAGTTACTTAAGTTGGTAACAGGTTAGAGTATCTCAGCATCTGAAACCCATGTTCTTAATGACCATGCATGTTAGTCGTAAAAGAAGCCATAGAAATCACCTTCCCATTTTACAGGTAAAGAAACTGAATCCCAGGATGTTTCATAATTTGTCCAAAGCTAAGCAGGAAAACTAAAATTAAATTCTAAATCAAGTAATTTCTTAGTTTACGGCTATTTTAATGTTATACTGCCTATATAATGACTTATTTTGAAAGCTCAATTTTGTCTCAAGATTTTTATCTGGAAAAGTAAATTTAAAGAGAAATTATTTAGAAATAAAGTATACTAAGTAAATAAAATCCACTTATTCTCTTACTTCAATGAAAAAAAAGTGAATTTGTTACTCTCAAAATAAATTTATTCACTCATTCTCCCAATTAAGTTTATATTCCTGGGAAAAATTAGTAGTCATTTAAATTGAATCCAATTGAAACTATGAAAGAAAGGACATTTAGAAGATAAATATCAGCATTTCCACAGTTGCACTTTATGGTTTAAAATTTGTGGAGTCTGGACCTATTTACCATTCTGCTCTTCTCATAAAATGAAGACAAAATTAAAATCAGGCAATACTCTGAGAGCTTTACATTTAGTATATACTTTAATCCCCACGTGACTGTAAGGCATAGATTCCTATTTATTCTCATTTTACAGATAAAAAGGAAACTGAGTTTTAGAGAATGTTAAGTCATAAACCAAAATCATACAGCTAAAAAGAAGCAGAAACAACATGCAGTTCCAAGTCCATTGCCTTAATTTGTTTACTATATGACCAAAGTATTTTTTACCTTAGTAAGAGTGGTACAGAGAAAATATTTTTACGATAGAGATATAACATTTCCTATTTTAAAAGAGTCATTGGTTAAACCACCAAGAGAACACATATTTAATTAATTATCAAAACACAGCTTAATTATGTCATCTCATTAATGAATTCCAAAAGGTTAATAAGGTGCTTCTGCCTGTTACTACCAAGAGACACTTCAGATGAGAATACTGGGCAAAATTTCATGAATATGGAAACTGGAAATTTACGTTAATATAAATATACTTTAAATCTTTAGAGTTCTCTGCCATGTCAATACATAGTGATTTAAAATTTTGGTTATTTTTTCTGGATACTGTAGTGTCACATGTAGTATGATTGTATAATAGTTTAATTATAAATAGAAGGATCTCTTCTACATAAGGCTTGGAGAATCAATCTCATTAATACAATTTCCCTCATTTTTGCCATAAAAAATAATTCCCTGAAATGATCACCCATTTTATTAATTTGCTTTCTTGTGACTTTCTTTACAAAACATGTAACTTATCCTCCAAGTCAATGCTTTTGAAACATTCAGATGAAAGAAACTGATTTTTTTTAAATACAAGAATAAATTTTCAAAACTTGTGAGAAGAGAAATGATTTGTTAGATTAAATGTATAGTTTTGGAAAGCAATTACTTTGAATCCATCAATATCCATTCAGATGTAAAATTTCTGATACATTTACTTTAATATAGCCTTAAATCAGAAATTCAAGATGTTCAAAGTCAGTTTTTTATTGTCCTACTTGGCCAATAAGAACAGACTCACCCCCTGGAAAGATACAGTGATAGTCTGGTTATTCTTGGTTTGTTCCCCTAAATTCATTCTCTGCCTTTCTCTGCCTCCTCCGCAACCAGGAGGATTGTTTCACCCACATTAAGTTTCTGATTAAGTTCTGCCAGTGAAAGTCACCCGCTGGGGACCTGACTAGGCAGAAAGAAGAAGGTGGCATACCGATGTACACCTTCCTGCCCTGCCGCAGCAGGTCTCTCACAGTCAGGCAGATCTGTACCTGTAATTCCCACACTGCCTCACCTACATCATTTCCTTGCTTTGTCCCTTCAGCACTATGGGTGGTAACTGCTTCCTACGGCCGCTAATCTCTGGATCACTCTCCCTTACTGGTTCACCCATTATCATTTATCCTTCTGTTAGTTTATTTTCATTTTAACCCTATTGAGTGTGCCATCTGTTTCAAGTGCATGACTCATACATGTGAATAGACAAAACATATCAATATACAAAAAAATTCTTCTGTAGCACTCTTTCCTGGATGTACAGAAGTGAAAAAATTGGACAAAATGCCAGTCCTCACTCACGGTGTGCCTACTCTGATTGGGGAAACAGGCAACAAACATACAGTGCACAAGATGGTGATAGTGCACAGAATTAAATGATGTAAAGAAGGGGCACAGGAAATGTCAGAGGTTTGTAACTCAGTTGTATTTAACTTCCTGGCTGCAGTCACAAGGTAGGTAGAGAGTTTGATTTTACAGGGTTTTGGCTTTGTCAAGTGAGAACTGAAAGCAAATGAAGATCAAGGTAGCAGAATATCTATGCTGTTAATGAGATTAATGATTATCTATGAAACTGATGACAGGGAAGAAGAAAAGTGAGTGTGTGGAGGCTAAAGACAGGACAAAGATGAGAAAATCAAGAAATTATAGGTCCAGTATGGTCACAGGATTTTAGAAGTCAGAATACTAAGAGTGAGCTGAAAGACAGGAGGTAAAGGCCAGAGACTGGGCTGTTCTAGATGAAGATCAAGTCAAGGTTGCAGTCACTGATAATAAGCAAGAGCATGAGAGTGAACTGCTAAAGAAAGATGGTAAACAAAATCTTTGGAATAAAATAAAAGGATATTTTAAAAGATCATCTAAATGGACAATGAAAACAAAATTTTCATTGTGTCAGAAAGTGTTGGAGACCCCTTCACATCCATTAGAATAGCTGTTATTAAATTTTTTTAAGTGAAAAATAACAAGTGTTGTCAAGGATGTGGAGAAACTGGAATGCTTTGTGCACAGCTGATGGTAACAAAATGATGCAGTCACTAGGGAAAATGATAAAAGAGAAAAGATAGAATTACTATGTGATCCAGCGATACCACTTCTAGGGGTATATCTCAAAAAACTGAAAACAGGGATTTGAATACCCATTTTGTACACCCATGTTCATAGCAGCATTATTTACAATAGCCAAAATGCAAAATAAACCCAAGTATCCATTTATGGGTGAGTAAACAAAATGTGGTTTATACTTACAGTGGAATATTATTCCGGCTAAAAAGGGAAAGAGATTTTGGCACATGCTACAACATGGAAGAACACTGAAGATACTGTATCAAGAGGAATTATCCAGATACAAAAATTGTATGATTTCACTTACATGAGGTACCTAGAGTAATCAGATTCATAGGGACAGAAAGCAGAATGGTGGTAGCCAGAAGCTGAGGTGAGAAGAGAATGGTGTGTTTTTGGGTACAGAATTTCACTTTGGGAAGATGAAATAGTTCTGGAGACGGACTGGATGGTGTTGATGATGGCACATCAATGTGAATGTATTTAACGTCACTGAGCTGTGCACTAAAAAATGGTTAACATGATAAAAGTTTATATTATGAATATTTCCCCACCATAAATTAAAATAAATACCAGAAAACAACAACAAAAAAAGGAAGTATTAAAAAGAGTATGACCAGGATCTAAAATTTTCAAGGAATGAGAAAGACTGATCTTTTCCATTGTTGGGGTACCTTTACAAAAAAGGGATTCTATACTAGATTAATTTGAATAAATTAAAAAACCTTAAAGTTACAGAAATATTACATGAGCATAGCATGAAAAACCTAAGAATCTGAGAAAATGCTTGACTTACAGATCCTAATTTTCACTGAAACTGGAAAATATGTGATTTGCTGAGAGTGCTAAGAAGTAGCAGCATATTTTGGTAAAAACCTAAAAGCAGAGAAATTCTGAAGTAACTTTTTGAGAAATATAGAAATGAGCTATCTAATAGACGTGTCCAGTTGAGATCCTCCTGTTGGAGCTCTATGTATTGGTGCCAATCTGCTGTGTTTTTCATTTTTATTTAGCAGCACCAAACACTATGGGTACAGGCAATAGATGATAAATACAGAGCCAGAAGAAAATATATCAATAAAATGATGTGTTTTAAACCTCACTGCACCCTATATGTGAGCATGTGTGCTCACACACACGTGATATTCTACATAACACTTCCTGTGTATTACTGTGGAAATTAACTACTCTCTCTTTTCATGAATCCCTGAGTATAAGCATTTTTGAGACGTATATCTAGATAGGACATTATTGTGATTTAATTTGTCAACAAGATTTTAAAACCGACTATTTTTTGAGTTCACCATTATATAATGCAAGAAACCTTAAAGCAATTTAAGTCCAATTCGGTTTTTTTTCACATGTGAGGAAACAAGAGTACACACACACACACACACAGAGGCACATCACCTTGACTAAGTCCACTACACATGAAAGGCACTCACCAAGTATCTGTGCAATGTCTGCTGAATGACTACCAAGGTAAAAGCCAAGAACAGAGGTTTTACAAGTTTGGGAACAGTTCTATTTTCATTATACAATGACTTTCCCTAAAGCAATTATGTAATTAACAACTAGGCTATATATATGCTGCCTAAACAGGTCCAAACTAGAAAATTTATACAACTAAAATGGTATTATTAATCTAACTTTTTAAATAAATAGAGCTGAAAATTGAGTTTTCTGAATTTTATTCTAAGATATATTTTCAACTGAAATCCTACGTTTTCAATTCACAACTAACCTAATTCATAGTCCACAGTACTTGTGACTATGGGGAGCAACTAAGAATTCTAAATACATTTATGCTAAGGACAGTTCTTCATTTTCATCCTTTGAGGATAATAAACAAAAAGGAAGGATAGTTTCATAATAGAAGCCATACCGAATACTAATCTAATAAGCTAAAGTAAAATCTTAGCTCAGTGGCTGAATGTATTTATCTCTTTGCCAATCATTGTTTTTGTTAACTAGATAATTAGCATTTTTATCCTATTAAAAGAGTCTTAATTATATTAGTCCATATTTCAAAGCATAGGGAAGACTATGAATGTGGTTCATTTCAAAACAAAAGAAGAGTAGGTTTAGACACTTGAGAGTACTTGTTTACTTCCAAATTAAATTAAGGTATGAAACTCAAAGAAACCAGTAAACAAGGTAAATTGAAAATTGACACTTTAACATTATGGCATTTAAAAGCTCCTTAAATGAGTATAGGTGAAAGTTTTAAAATTAAAATAAATGAGTATTACTTCTGTCACTTTTATATACCTTTTTACATACATATATATACATACATACATAAAATAGAAATTATATATCATAGAGCTCATCTTATGGCAGAAATCTTCATATAATTTAATATACTTTGAATTAGCTGTGACAGTGAACCCTTAATTATGCCATATGTCATGTGTCAGGAGTCAAAGAGATTCTCCTGTGGCCCTGCACCCATTCCAGTGTGGTCCATCAAACACAAACAATGTACTCTTTACCTAAGAAATCTTCCTTACTTATCCTCATCACTCGTTTTATTCTGACATTTCTAGGTGCATTGAACCGGAATATTTAATGCAATATTAAATTACTGTTTCCCCAGCAATACTGTAAGCTTCTTTAGGATGGAAATTGTGTTGCACACTTCACTTACAGCCTTGTAGTACTTCACAAGTGATCAAATTTACTTCTTAAATCAAGTTGAATTCAACAACAGCAACAAAAAAAACAAAGGGATAAATTGGGAGCTTGGGATTTATAGATACTAACTACTATATACAAAATAGATAAATAAGGTCCTACTGTATAGCACAGGGATCTACATTCAATACCTTGTAATGGCCTATAATAAAAAAGAATACAAAAAGGAATATATATATGTATAACTGAATCATTGTGCTGTACAAGAGAAATTAACAAAACATTGTACATCAATTATACCTCAATTTAAAAAATAAACAAGTGGTATAAAATTTTAAAACAAAACTCTTGGGGTTATTCCAATACATTATATCATCTGCTTGCTCTCCTCTTTCTGCAATAATCTAAACAAATTAAATCAGGTAGCTCAAAGGTTCCTCGGCTGTAATGTTTGACTTCCATTCTGGCACAGTGACACTGGACTCTCCACTGATTTCTAAATTGCTTTATTGTGTAATTTGGGAGGACTAGAGGAATAGAATCTACAATCAGAGGCAGCTGGTCGAAACAGGTGTTGCAGAAAATTATAATCCTACTTTGATTAATCCTGTTTTTTACAGCCACCCTCCAGTTATGCATGACAGGTATCCAAATAATCAAACATACAGTCTTCATTGCAACAACCGGAGTTATTGTCAGGAGAAACGTCAGGAATTACCGAGCCATTGATGCCAAAATAATGTGTTTCAAGTTTTTGTTATTCCCTCATTTCTTGAATTTTCTGAGGGAAAATGTGTGTATGTGAGTGTGTGTGTATGTGTGTGATCTTCATTACAAAGCTGTGCCTTTTTCTGTTCATGTTGGTGGTTTTCAATAATCCACAAATTTAAAATTTGCCCTTCCAAAATAATTTTAAAACTCAGTTTAGAGTTAACAAGAACATGGTAACTGTTATGCAGCATCTGGAATTATACGTGCATCTGTAACAAGGCATATACAATATTAAGAATCTCTATGTAGTTACTAAAACACGGTATCAGTTTCATATGTGGGTCAACATGCTGTTAAAGCATTTCTTCTCCTGATCTGATTATTCTTTCCCAACATATAGCAATTACCATCCTGACTCACACACAGCTCTGTGGAGGTGTCCGGCATTCAGCCTTTTTGGGAATGGTTCTATTCATACAGGTATACCTCGGAGATATTCTGGGTTCAGTTCTAGACCACCACAGTAAAGTGACTATCACAATAAATTGAGTCACATGAATTTTTTTGGTTTCCCAGTGTATATAAAATTATGTTTACACCATACTCAAGTCTATTAAGTGTGCAACAGCCTTATGTAAAAAAAAAGAGTATATACTTAAATTTTTAAAAAAATATTGCTAAAAATGCTAACCATTATCTGCGCCTTCAGTGAGTCATAATCTATCTGCAATAGTAACATCAAGATCACGGATCAATGATTACCAAACAAATATAATAATAATGGAAAAGTTTGAAATAAAGTGGAAATTACCAAAATGTGACAGATAGGAAGTGAGGAAACTATGTTGAAAAAATGGCACCAATAGACTTGCTAAACACAGGGTTATCACAGACCTTCAATTTGTAAAAACAGAATATCTGTTAAGTGCAATAAAGAGAAAAGCAATAAAATGAAATATGACTGTATGCAGTTATCCCTCAGTATCCGTGGGGGATGGATTCCAGGAACCCCTGCAAATCTGAGGATGTTCAAGTTCCTTATTAAAAATGACACAGTACAGTGAATTCACTCAGCCTTCTGTATCTGTGACTTTCACATCTGCGGATATGGAAAGTAGACTGTATTTAGTAGAAGGACTAACTCGTAACTGATTTTGTGGGGTTTGAAGCTGGTCCTTTCAGAACAGCCAACTAATGAAAAAATTTCCCTGACTCATTTTATAAATCAACTCTAGTTAAGTAAACGAATCATTAAGATTAACACAGAAGTGTTAAAATATGCACAATTATGTATTTATTAGACTTAGCTAGTAAAATATCTTAGTCACTTATAAATCTTTGATTCAGCTTTTCCTTGTTAAAAATGAATACATCCAGATTATGTGTCTTGACCAATATAATGCTTTAGCAAAAAGAGGTGTTCACTGAAAACTCTTAAAATATTAACATATTTCTCTTATATATATTTTGTGTGAATGTTAACAATTCAATACTGCTAATGCCTTAAATTATTATATTGTTACTTTTAATGTATTATAAAATGTTTTAACTTTCAACTTTACATGTATAGAATGTGTTAACACCATGATACTAGGGAGCAATATCATATTTTGCATTCTGAAAAAAAGAGATATCCTTAATTTGACCAATACTGTATATAGTTTTATATAATCTATATGATTTCAACTCTTCAGCAAGCAATGGAAAGTTTAAAAATACAAGAAAGAAATTTAATGTGTACCCTCTTATTTATTACAGCATTATTTACAATAGCCAAGATATGGAAACAACCTAAGCTTCCATCAATGGATGAATGGATGAATTGTATGCATATATAATGGAATATTATTTGGTCACAAAAAATAACAAAAGTTTGCCATCGGTAACAACACTGATGGACCTTAAGTTCTGGTAAGTGAAATGTCAGACAGAGAATGACAAATACCATATGCTCTCTGTTATATGTAGAATCTAAAAGTGTATAAATATTAAGACAAACAAGCTCATAGATACAGAGAGTAGATTAGTGGCTGCCAGAGGTGGGTGATGAGGGGGAAGAAATAGATGAACTGTTTTCTTTTTTTTTTTTTTTTAGTTTAAATAAATTGGAAAAATATCTTTTTTTAAAGTATCATTTGAAATGCTTTAGAAATACCCATTTAGTTGCTCTTGAGTCACTATTTTAAATAAAGATTTGAGAGGTATATAAAATAGGTATATGATTGCAATGAAATGTCACCTCACACAGATCTCCTTGCTGCTCTTCTGACATTTACCCTCCCCGTATTTCCACATGACTCATTCCTTTACCTCAAACAGGTCATTACGCAACTGTCACCTTCCTGGTAAGTGCGTCCCTCACTTCGCTACTGAATACTACCGCTCTCAGCACTGCTTTCTCCCACTCCGACTTTAAATATTTTTATTCGCATTATTTTGGAATAATTTTAAAATCACCAAAAAGTTACAAAGGTAGTAAAGAGGTGTTCTGTATACCCTTCACCCAGCTTCCTCTAATATTAATGTCATATAACCATAGTGTATTTCCTCAAACTGAAAAATTAACATTGGTAATACACTTTTAACTAAATTACATTGATGCAGTGCTATTAAGTAACCACAGCCTTTATTCAGAAGTCACCAGTCTTTCTACTGCTGCCTTTCCCTGTTCCAGAATCTAATCCAGGACACCACACTGCATTTAGTCATCACGCGGTCATGCATCAGCCTCCTTGCTGTCTTCTTCTCTGACTATTTTTAGTTTTTTTCCATTTTTTTTTATGACTTTAGCACTTCTGAAGAATACTGATGAGGTATTTTGCAAACTATCCCTCAGATTTGACTAAAGTTTCCTCACAATTAGACTGTGGTTATGGATTTTTGTGTGTGTGTGTGTGAGAAGAGGTAAAAACTATCTATGAAAATTATTTGGATTTCTTCTGTACAGAATATTTTTCTCTTTTCTCTCATATATTTCTTCAATCACTTACATCAAGTATGTCTTCATCGACATTACTTTATTATTTGAGGTATAATATAATGCTGTCTTTAATTGCTTTGTTGACCAAATTGTTCTAGATTTTACCATTGAGAAGTCTTTTAGGTTGGCTCTGTGTCTGTTTTTTTTTTTTAAAGCATTTTCTTACTTTCTGGCAATACAAGATATCTCAAAATATCTGTATTTTCCCTTTCACAGTGCTAGACTCAACCATTCCTGCAGGAAATAACTGATTCTAGGCTTTCTCAGTTGAAAGATCTAGGAATTATATGCTGTTTACTAACCCACAAATACATATTGGTTAGTATCTGCCTATCTGTGTAGATATTAAAGTAAACATGAGTTCAGTGGTGTCTCCAGCTTTAATCCAATCAGGACCACAAGGTTCATTCTAGCCTTCCCGCCTTTCCCTGAAGGTGAGAAATCTGGCTCCCATTAACTACAATGTATTTACTTATTTCTTAAATCCTAGCATACATGTAATTTTAGAAATGCTGTCATAAAAACGTGTACCAACTACACTGTGGTACTAATGTGTAATTGTTTGCATTTAATCTTAAACTATCCAGTTAAAACACTGCTTTCCAAAGTTACCCATGTCAGTTTCTTCCCTACCCTCTTCAGTAAGACTGTACTACATACTTGTAGTACTCATTTGCCGAAGTCTGCACTCCATCCTGTATATCCTATAATCAGACCGCTGTTACTACTCCTGCTGTTTTCTCCATTCTCGGTGGTATACACGTGTATGGGTTTTAAAAAATGGATAGAATCATGTGTTTACCACCCCAGTACTGTGTAGGTTTCCATGGCTCAAAACATTCCTTTTTGAGGCCTCCTTGCAATCAATCCCTTACCTGCTCTCCTCCCTGCACAGTGGTAAAGGAGTGTTCGCTTCTCGGGGGCCCTGGATGGAGCGTGAGGTGAGGAAATTAACCAGCTCTTTCAGGAGCCTTAGTCCTGTCATCTCATTTTCAGCCTAACTCCCTACTTACAGAGATACCAGTACTAGAATTTTGCCTCATAAAATGAACACTTTCTTTTGGACTTCCCCTCTTCCACTGTCTGCAGACTTAGGTTTTAGCTTTTTCCAATTTGCTAAATTGTCACCATTCACCCATCTGCTTCAAACTCATGTTTTGTTGGCTCACTCTCTTTGCTATCACCATAATTTACATTCCTTTTGTCCTTTGGGCATATTCCTTTACTAAAATTTTTCTAGAGTTTAAGGAAAAAACAGAAATTAATATATGTATTTAATTCATATTTAACTAGAAGCACACAACGTGGTCAGATATTGAAAATAAATTTTTGAGTAAAATAAATCAAGTCCCTAAATGTGTATGTTACACCATCATTTATGTAAACATACAAATTTTTAAATGGGCTGGATAAGTATATAAAAGCATACTGAGAGTGTTTTTCTCTAGGGATGGTGGGAGTTATGTCTGAGGGGAAGACCAGAGAGAATGTCACTATCTTCTGTAATGTTCTACTTCTTTGTTTAAAAAACCTTAAGTAAATATTGTTGTAATAGTTAATTAAAAATAACAGGTAAATGAATATTTGTCATATTGCTGCTCATTATTTTAATGTATTTTAAGTATTTTAAAAGTAAAACTTCCCACTGTAAAGTTTTCTTAAAAATCAACAACACATTTTCTCTCCTAATAATTATGTATCTGTTATGAGACAAACTTCAGGAAATTTTAAGTGTCAGATAACATATTAGACTTCTGTCCTATGTCCACTAGCCTTTCATTTCTAAAGTGAAAAAGTGTTACCAATTAATACATACAGGAAATAAATTTAAAGATAATGTTTTCTTAAAAACTAATCTGAGACATCCTCTGTGGCAACATACTAAATGGCAGGGATGAGATGAAGAGTGCAACCTTATAGCAGAAAGAACAAAACATCTGGCTCCTTAGAGACATAGTCAATATACATGTACTTTCAGATATATTTTCTTCCTTAAGGATCCCCAGGGTTATTTTGCTATTATATCATAATGCAAGGAAAGAATGTCAGAAAATTGTATCTGCAAAGGAGGCAAGAATATACAATGGAATAAAGACAGTCTCTTCAGCAAATGGTGTTGGGAAAACTGGACAGCAGCATGTAAAACAATGAAGCTAGAACACACCCTTACACCATATACAAAAATCAACTCAAAATGGATTAAAGACTTAAACATAAGACAAGATACAATAAACCTCCTAGAGGAAAACATAGGCAAAACATTATCTGACATACATTTCAAAAATTTTCTCCTAGAAGAAATAAAAGCAAGAATAAACAAATGGGACCTAATGAAACTTACAAGCTTCTGCAGAGCAAAGGAAACCAGAAATAAAACAAGAAGATAACCTACGGAATGGGAGAAAATTTTTGCAAGTGAAACCGACAAAGGCTTGATCTCCAAAATATATAAGCAGCTCATACGACTCAATAAGAAAAAAATAAACAACCCAATCCAAAAATGGGCAGAAGACCTAAACAAGCAATTCTCCAAGGAAGACATACAAATGATCAAAAAACACATGAAAAA